TTTTTTTTTTTGGTTACCCACCTCATATTCATGTTTTATCCACTGGTGTCGCTGTTGAACAGTATTTATATATAAAAATGAATGATTTACACACTGTTTGATCTTATATTTTGTAACTTCTTTTTTGCATTACTGTCAATTCTTTTCTGATCTGAATATTTTTGAGGAGGCACTGCCTGCTCAAAGAAAATGTCCTGATGTGTACATTCTGAATGATGGTGGAGGACAGATTGCCTTTCATGCTTAAAGGAGTGGAATGGAAAATCAATTTTACTTTTAGATTGAAAGTCTGGTTTAGAAGCTGAAAGACAAGTATGGGAGTCAGTAAGATGCTGTACATCCTATTCATCAAGAAGTCCTGTCGTGTACCTCTGACAGCATGTAATTCAAATTAAAATCAGATGAGCCTTTAAGTAAGCTGACTTGTGTATGAAATCTGCCATGTTTACTGTCGGCACCCAGACGAATATTCTGAATGTGATCTTTCGGGTGGTTGCTCATTCAGAGGCAGAAACCGCCATGATTGATGAGTCTCAGCAACAATGATCTGCTTTCAAAGTCTCTGATCCATGGACACACGGGGCACTGATGCTGAACAGAGGATATGCACATAAGCAAAGGAACCACCCACATATGTCTCCTCTTCTGTAGTCCACATTAATCACACAGTTATTAGTGTCAGCTATAATTTTTATCAGTTTGACTCCGGTGCATATGCAGACCTTCGTGCAGAGCATTAAGACTTCTCTACAGAGCATTTTCAGATTATTATACATGCATTTGAGTACATTATGAGAATGCACATTGGAAACATTTTTGTCTCACGGTATGTCTGATCATTAATTATGGACCCTTTTGGCCATGCGGACCTAGAGAATGCACTCTCTTATAACACACTTAATGTTCAACAGAGAATATTGTATATATGCATCATAGAAGAATTCTGTAATTTCTGCCATTTTTCTAAACATCATGAATGTTTTCACTACATCATGCATTCTGTTTAAAATAGATTCACTTGTCATTTACTCACCCTCGTGTTGTTCCAAACTTCTATAGACTTTGAAGATATTTTGACAAATTGTCCATTCAATGGATGCCATTGGCTTTGGTTACCAACATTCAGCATTCAAAATATCTTCTTCCATGAAGGAATGAACGACATGAAGGTGAATAAATAATGATAGTATTTTCACTTTTGGTTAAATGATCCCTTTAATAGCATTCTGATCACGGCCGACTACCATGTCTGGCTAAGGATAATTTTCAAACTTATAGCTTGACAGGAAATGATGCACAAGAAAAATTCTGTTCACATAAAATGTCTAAATATTTTTAAAATATATATATATATCTATATATATATATATATATATATATATATATATATAGTAAACAATATGATAAAAACGACAAATGATTTCCATCATCTTGCCACAAAATTACGTTTTATTATGTAAGGAAAGAACGTAAGATGCGTAAGAAATTAATCCTACACTCAAGAGCGTTTTAAGGACAAAACCTGAAGAATGTCTTGAGATACATCATCTGAATGATGTCTTGAAGTGTGGTAACCATAGTTCAAGTGGAATAATTGACTCCAGTCCATTGAATTATTACTCAGCTTCACCACCTCAGGTGTGCATTATTTTCTAATAATTCAACGGCCTGTCGTCAATTATTCCTTAAAATAATATTATTTATGTAGGATTTTCATATTTTAAGATAATAAAAGAAAGCAAAAATAAAATCCATGTATATAAAAGGCATTTAAAAAGTACAATGTAGACCTCCATATGATTAAAAGAAAAAGTTTAAATCCGTTTTAATAAAATCAACCCATGGGACATAAATGTGCCTGTAATTAAAGAAACTACGAACTACAGGATCTAAACAAAGCTAGGTCAAGATTTAGACTAGTAGTAATTCCTTGAGGTAGCCTATTTACAGTAATAAGAGTCCTCACAGACAGGCTTCCCAGTGCCCCTTAGCTGTTCAGTGAATTGTTCCCTTCTTAAATGGCTAAAAAAGGTGATCCATTGAGCTTTTGAAGTGAAAAGGGGGGTCTTTCCCTCCTCTAGACCAATCCATTCATGTTTTATTAATGTCATATGCTCTTGGGTATGGAATCTTTTTAAAACAACTCACCAGGTCATCCTGTTCATTGTCACAAATCAAATTAGCCCAGCGAGCGATTAATCTTCCTGTCGAACCGACTCTGAAAGGGCCCTGACACCTTATTCATTTTCTTAATTAGATCTCTTATTAGGAGTCACAGTCGTCCACGTTAATTACAGCTTTCTTTGACTCTTGCACTTTCGAGTTGGCTCTGCAAACTATTTGTAGAAAGTAAAGGCAAGAATGTAAGGTGATTAGAAGCAATGAATTGGATTAATGTTTGAAAGCACAGGGTGGAGGTGAGGCGATGTGTTAGGTGGGGCATTACTTCTGGACATTGTGGGGATTGCTATTGAACTTCATGCTGAACAAATATAAAAATGCAAAATATGTGGACAAACACACTGTTATTAAGCCCTATCACACAAAAGAGTGCTGTAAGATATTTGGGAAAAAGACAACAGCACGATTGCGAGTGTGATTTACTTACTCAAGTTAGTCGCCACACTGAATTTAACGCTGATGAAAATGAGGATGTGAGGGATAGACTTACAGCAGGGGTATCAAACTCAATTCCTGGAGGGCTGGAGCCCTGCAGAGTTTTGTTCCAACACACATACCATGTAGTTTTCAAATAATCCTGAAGGACTTTATTAGTTGGATCAGGTGTGTTTAATTAGGGTTGAATCTAAACTCTGCAGGGCTCCAGCCTTCCAGGAATTGAGTTTGATACCCCTGACTTACAGTATTTACAATCGCACGTACTAAAGGTTCTAATAAATCAGCTAAATTTCACAACTCACATCTTTCAAAACTGTTTTATGGAGTTTTTGTCTACTGAATGTCAGCATAACAATCGATATGTTTCTTAAACAAAAGCACAATCCACTGAACGCACTGTAGCCTACTTCTATCCCTCACAGCCTTATTTTCATTCATTTCAAAAAGTAAATATGGCACTACCCTGACTAAGCTCTATTGCTTAGGCTACAACAGTTCCACAAGTTAATATCGAGTAATTCACATTTTAGATACAAATTTGCCGGTTACCTTGTCTGTTTCCACTCTGCAGAGGAAAGCCACAGCAGGTGGTGTTCCGTTCTTGAACGAATCAGTGTTTTCGGATCACTTGAATGAATGAGTCAGTGATTCACTCATAAGGACAATCACGTGTCGCCACCTACTGGAGTATCGAGGTAACCTTGAGAAAGAGTCATTGAAAAATCCCCACCACTAATGCACAGACTGACAAGTCTGTCTGAAATTCAAAGACACAGACAAGCAGAGTGATATGAACACTGAAAATCCCAGAGCTGTTATCAAAACAAACCGCTGACCCTGATTTATCTCTCCAGAGCTTGAGAGTGTCCTTCAAACCAGTTCATTGTGAATCTGAAGCTAAATTTAGAAACACACTGTGCTATTTAGTTATGATTAAAGGAACATCCTTGATCCAGCAATCACCCCCGGTGAATGAACCTTTCCTTGTGTCACACTAGCGTGTTACTGAGTTTCTCACACTCACAAATACAACAAAAACACTCATTAAAAATTACGAATGACATTTCGACAGAACATTTATTAGTTTGCAGTTACAAATGCAGTGAAAATAAACATGGATAAAAAAATAAAAAATTACAGCTTACTACAGGAAACAGCATTTACTGTAAATGGGTCAGTCAGTGCGGTTTGACGAGAAAGCCTCTCTTCATAGAATGGGAATCAATTGCCCATTGCCTAGAGCATGAGCACTTTCTACCGTTGAATTGAATAGCTGAGCAAACGGGTGGAAAAAGGGCCAGTAAAAGAATCAGCAAGTAAACAGAGTTGTGCTTGAAGCCTTAAGTTTCAGCTTTCTTTACTTGCTGTAGTGAAGTCTTTGTCCTGCTGTCAGGAGTGAATCTGATGACCCAGCAGGAGTGCAGTGTTGACCTGCATTTTATTGATCTTCTGGTCTTGCATAGTGGGATTGTACGGTGATGTAGAGCAGGGTTTTGGACATGTTCATCACTTTACACATACAGAAATTTGCTGATTCATCTTCAGCATATAGTTTGTATTAAAAATGACACGCTTGAAGGGTTTGGCTCCTTTGTTTGCTGGGCACCTGCTACAGATATCTGTATTCACAGCACTACAATTGTCCACCGAGACTGTCCACCTGCAAGAAGCCATTTTCATTTCTATTTATGAATCAGTACAGTTATATGTACACGTATATCTATATAGCACTTTGCACTTGCAGAATTTTCAAAATACTTCATAATACAAAAATTATGTTAATACTAAATTATTAAAATGATACTTTCAAAATACTAAAATCATATTTTTGTAGGCTATTCTCAAATGTAACATTTAGCTTCTAGGTGTTGATTAAATATTCCATATTAATTCTTGATTTGGAAAAAGACTACAAAAATCAATGTTCGGGCAAAATAAACAAGTGTATGAATAAACAAGAGAATTAGCTAAGAAAGAGTTTTTGTATGTGTATTAAACCCATCAAGGGCCAGAGAAACATCAAGAAGATTCAATGAAGATTGGGAGTGGATGAGAATAAATATTGTGATGAAAAAGGCTCTACCATCGATGAGGCTTGTCTTTTGATCAAAAAGACTTAAATAAAGCCTTTATTTATTTAACTTGTCAAAACAATAGGCAACCTATTTAAAAAAAAGTTTTTTTTCATAGTTACTTATTTTTCAGACCTTAGTGTTTTTCATATTTATGACCAGTTTAGTGATTCAGTGCGAAACTATACATCATCATAGGTTATTGTGAGAGTGACTCTTTTGTGAGTCTTAGAAAGCAGTGACATTGAAGACAACCAAGTTATAAAGGAATATATTACTATCAATACAATTAATATTATTAATAAAATATTATAATATAACTTAATTAAAATGCTGAAAAAACAAGAAGTTTTGTCATAATACTAGCTAATGTTGACAAAATATCTTACCTTCTACACTGCAAAAAAGAAAAGAAAAAAAAAGTGAGTCATTTGGGTTTGGAACATCACAAGGGTGAGTAAGCAATGATAGAATTTTAGTTTTTGGGTCAACTATTTCTTTAATTCAATTAGGCTTATTCCAAACATGACTATATTTGAATTAAGGTATAAGAAAATGCTGTTGACATTTACTTTTCAGAGTATTTTCGATAGCATTCATTATTGCAGTCATTGTAAACATGGCCTGTAATGTTGTAATGTACAATAACTTTCCCATTCAAATAATCATACAATGGTTATAAATAAAGCCAAGAGCAGAAGCCTCTTCCTAGAACTCGACTGAAGTTTCCTCAGCAAAACAACAAAGAATTGGGCGACGGTAAATGCATTCGGTTATCTATGCAAAGGCAATTCTTGCTCTAAAAAGAAGCAGGGCTCTCTTCACAGCAAGACACCAGCATTCTTACTCAGAAAAAGCAGATGCATGTAACAGAACTGAGTTCTTCGTTAAGCATCCATCCCAAAGCACCTTTTACGACCCATCCACATTAAAACCCCGAATACACAACGAAAAAATCCCTTGATTCCCATTTACATACTTTTCCCCCCACAATAATCTCAGCGGCGGCGTCTTTTTCTCATGAAAGGTCTGCTGTTGAGGTCCTGGTTCCTATAACGCATTAAATGCACACTGAGGCTTTGAGCTGCTCTGTATCCTTTTAGATAGAAAAACAACAACAAAATGTGGGAACGCCTCATTGAAGAAGAGAAAACACAGCTTTTTGTTTGTAATTCCCTGCTTAGCATTCTGGGAAAACTGCTGGGAGATCGATGTAGCTGTCAGTCTCTAGCCCTCTGTGACTTCGCTGATAGAAAAAATGACTTGAAACAAAAAAGCAGAGATTATATATATATTATATATATATGAAGAAATATGATTCTACAACAGTTAGTTCTGATTCTCCAGTCTGATTTCAGACAGTCATTCTGGTGATTTTCAGTGATTCTTTCTGCAGGTTACATTGTTATGCCAGTAGGTGGCAGCAACCAATTTGTTCAAAAACATTGATTCATTCAGGAACAAAACAAGTTACTGTATTTATAGGTGAGGCACTGAATAATTCACTCAAAGGATTCGTTCAAAACCCTGATTAATTCAGAAATGAAACAAGCAACTGTTTTATGAGTGCGTCATTTAATGATTCACTCCAGTAATGCATTCAAAACCACTGATTCATTCAGGAACAACACTACTGTGTGTTGCCTGGAGATGTGTAACTGTCCTGCTTTGGCTTTGTTTTTGGACTGTTTTGATTTCTATAATTATTTTAGCAGACCAAAAAATGGTCTGAATTCTAGAAATCTGTTTAAAACATCAATGTTCCCCACATCCATGGATGACATAAAATGTCAGCAGCAACAACGTGTGTAATTAAATGGATAAAACATGCTAATCAGAGAACAGCATTACTAACAGAGACATAAAAGTAGACACAGTGTATAGAAAACCATTTTAATATTGATTTAATTCTGATAAGGCTGCATGTTTATCTACCAGAGCTACCGTAGTTGCATGTCTACTGATGCCAGTAAAGAGAAATGAAGCCCGCTTTTTGCCAACTCTTTGAAACTTTATTACACAGAAAATGAATCTCTTGAAAATGAGATCTCATCTTCCCTACGACACTGACCCTATCAAACTAGGGCTTCATTTTTCTGAACTGTGTCAGGTTTCTGTCCAGTGACACAGATCCAGTGTTTGCTTATCATGGTTATCACATTTAACAAAATTAATATCTTGTATTTATGAAACCTACACAAGCATGATGAAGTCTATCTATTCTCAGAACAGCATAGAACAAACTTAATCATGGACTGAGCTGGCTATAGGTAAATATCAATGGTAATCTGAGTAACAATAGGTGATTGTGGCCTCTTTTGTTGGACTGATAGACTGATATCCCTGCGAAATTACTAAGAATGAGTTGCGTCCACCGACAGAGGCAAATAATTACATTGTTTGCTGTGTTGAAGTGCCCGATTCAGAATTATGCAAATCGGATAACAAAATTTGCATAATTCTGTGCATGGCACAGTTCTCAAACTTGCTGGTTGCTTCTGTTTACTACAGTAGTTTGTGTAGGATACTTTGGATACACTACCAAAATTTGACGTACTTTACTGGGACAGTACAGCACCAAGTGTAGTTGACTACTCCACACATCTGCTCTTCACCAGTATTTGCTCATTACGTGTTGAATTACTTTTGCTGTGATCAGTAGAAAATGTACATAAAGTCATTTGCCATCTGATTTCCAACGGTGGTAGTAGCACTAGAGTAGCAGTACAGTTTTGTGAATAAGCCGCAATCTATAATAAGCCTAATTTGCATGGAAACTTGTTTGAAATGAATGGCAATTACTTAAATACTTACAGCTCAGGAATATTTTAGCACTAAAAAAATAGGTTTGCGCTGAAATATTGTGTACAAAAATGTTGCAACTATTTAGTGAATTTTCCTCTTTTTTTCATAATGGATCCAATGGAACAGATTCTCATTCAAGCAAAATATGCCAGATTTCCATTACATCAAGAGAATATGTATTTTCACAGACAGCCTTAAATTAGGGATTAATTGTACTTCTTGTTCAAGGAACCACAACTATGAATACAGTCTTAATTCAAACCCACTGAACAGGTTTTAGGGCATGATAGATCTTCATATGATGTCTTTTAATATGTATCTATATGTATATATACAGAAATATATACAGTTACTTTCAATACAAAGCTCCCACAAAATACATTGAGCATGCTGACAAATAAAAAGATATCTGGCCCAAGTAGACAGTGAGGTGACCTTGACTTGGGGGAATTCCAAACGGACAGCATGTGGGACACTAGCGGTGAGCGGTAAACTCAGAAGTGAAAGGGAAATAGCACGGCTTCACAAGCTCCTAGTCTGTTACCAAAGCCGACGTGGAACGACAAACTGATGCTGGGATGGAAAAAAAAAAATCTCCTATTGATTTCCACCTCATTTTCACAGACCAGTGCTTATCCGTCATGAGCCTTCATACAGTTATTCACAGCTTAAATCAGGATTGTCCAGTTTACCTAGGGAGGCAAAGTCTTCAAATAGGCTCCCCTAAGCTGTATGAGTTTAGAACCAGAGGAAGGTGGTCAGGAGAAACGCAGAAAATCAAGAGAATTGGACACGGTCGAGTCTGCAGCGTTGGGCTCATTGATCAAAAACACAGATTAGCCTGCTTTATTTCTATTTGTCATATTCCTTGGCACTGAATGAGCAAATCTCATCTTTATCCCCAAGAATGTCCTTCTTTATTGTTCAGTCACAGGTAATTCAGTCAAACACCCCTTTGAATGAATGGTTTCGTCCATTCTGACAGAAAGAATCCACATTCACTGCCTGTGAAAGAGCTCTTTGTTAGGTCCGGGGATGAATCTGAAAACAGACAAAAAGAGAGAGAAAACACACATGCATGCTTAGAACAAAGGTGAAATGCTTGTGAAGAACGATTCCCAGATTCTATATTTTCAAATCAGCAAAGAAATCTCCTTTGAGCTGTGGAGCTATTGTCTGTTTATAAATGATTGTAATTTGTCTACTATAACACATCTATACTGGTAATGGAGCGATTGGCACAGTGTGAGTCAATGTCTATGTGTTCAGTTGCCCATCTGCCATCTTCAATCTCTGTATGTTCCCTGTTTACACTGCACAGTGAAAAGAGCTCAGTAGCATTGCCAAGAGGGAAATAAGATTCTTTTCTTCCTCTTTGTTTCTCTATCCCTCGTTTTCTCTCTTTGTGTATTTAGTCTGTCTGGTGAGTGTGTCTTGCTCTCAATGCTACATTGTGCTTCACTCAGACCGTTATTAACGATTTGTCTTCTCCCTCCTCAGACTGGAGGAAATGCACGATAACAGCCACAGTCAGTAACGATTAGCCAGTCTTATGTCAGCGCAAATCGTCTTTTGATGTGCTTCCAGAAAGCTTGTCAATGAACGGACATAGCAGTCCTCACACAATGAATGTTTAATGTCAATCTCAAACACGCCACATATATTATGACACCACTGCTGAGTTATTATGCCATCCATTTAACTGTTCGCATATCTACTGTATCTTCTGTATGTATGTCTGTCTAGATAGACAGATAGGTCGATCTCTGTCTCTAGATGAGTAGGTAGAACGATAGACAGACAAACAGAGATATAGATAGATAGATGATAGACATCAGAAATAAATCTATCTATCTATCTATCTATCTATCTATCTATCTATCTATGATAGCTAGACAGATATGCCTGTCTGTCCATGTATCTCTCTGTCTGTCTAAAGAAGTACTTTACTGGAATGATTATTTCACATACAATATTTCCAAAATCGCCCAATCATTAATCCATCAATCAATCTATCCCACTCAGAGCTAGGTGGCGTTTTTATAATAAAGTTGTGATGTCAGTAGTGCAATGAAGCTAATTAAATGCTCAAGCCTGTGGCTTCGCTCTCAGCGCATAAAGCATATGCTGACATTTCCCCATCTAGATGTGAAGGAAGGCAGCCAGGTGTGAGCTACAGATTGAGAGAGAGACATAGACAGAGACAGAGAGAGTGACTGGGGACAGAAATTAGAAGCACCCCTTGGGGCCCACTATAACCCGACAGAGAGACAGCTATCATGCGGCAGAGTTACGCTCCACGTGCTCCCATCATCCTGGGCAAGGCACGGCAGAGGAGGAGGAGCTGTCCATCATAACGGATCCCCTCTGGAAAGGGACCAGTTCATGCCAATCAAAAGAGGTTATCCAGCCAATGGCAAACAAACACAGCACCCTGACTAACATTGGTAATATCCTGCACTACTGTGGCACTGCACCAATACTAACATGAGACAAAGGGAAAACAGCTGCTTCTTTGAGAAAAGATGCAAAAATCACTTTGTTTAAAATAATCAGATTTGCTGGACTTAAATGCTTATTTTATATACATGTAAACGTTAACTGACAGTTCTGTGTCAGATTTTTATTTTTTTTTGCTAAGCATTTAGTTTGTCGTAAGCCAAATTTTCCTTGTCTTTCCTCTCCAAATAAGCACTTTTGCATGCTGTGCATACTTCCAACCCCCACATACTACGCAAAAAGCAGTATAGTGACCCTGATGCAATTTGTCTTCGGCTGTCTGCTAGTATGTATGGATCTGTCGCTCCCAGTGTGGTTTGTTATATTGGACTCTATGTAAATGCTGCCATATTTCGTCCATCTCTGCTCAGGTGTCCTCTACTGTCTGCTACTGCTTCTGTTGATTGGCTGGATCCAGGGTTAAAAGTCACATAACAAGACATTTGTTGTACACCATTTGCATTTTAATTCTCAAATGATATCTCAATTTTGTTGTGCATGCTCCATGCGCTAAAAATGTAATCTGGTTTAGACTATGCAGCTGTTGAATGTGACTTAGCATACAGCAAGACTCCAGACAGCATGAATGTGTTAGAATTAATTTAATGTGACATTGACAGCTGAAAGGGATACAGATACAGTCAAGGCTCTGGGTTTAACAGGACTCTTGGGACAAACTGACTTAATCATCATGTGATTTAATCTTAAACCATCACTTGGCAGATTACTTTTGCTCTGAAAATCCACACAGATGGGATTCTTTAAACAGCACAGGTATCTTGTAAAAAAGTCTCCTGTTAAGAACATGTGTTTCAAAGACATACTTGAGGAAACAGCAAGCCATTACATTTTCTGAGAACTAAACATGCTGTTTCCTTGTAAAAGTGTCTATTTGTGGAACATGCAGGAAAAAATATCTGGACAAATTGTTTGGATTTGAGTACTCACACCCCTTATCCCAATGTGATCTCATTAAAGTGTAGTTCTAGGACATGTATATTGTATATTGAAACTGAAATGTACAATATTAACATATTGACAGCATCTAAATTGTATGCATGTCACATATAAACAACCTTAGAGATATATAAAACGTTTCTGAACCCTTTTAGCTTAATATAATATTGAATTAATGGAATTATTAGGTTGATCAAATTGTATTTCACTGATGAGATTTATGAAACATGTTCAATGCCATCACATTTACGGTATTTAATGCATTTATCTCAACAAAGTATTTCACCAAAGAATGACAAATGCACCATACAATAATAGATGTAATCCATTCTATTTATACAATACATTAAAGTCACCATGAACCATATGATAGGTTTGTGTGAGAAAAAGGCCTCTATTTAACTAATAGACAATTGGCCCCATCCACTGTGACTTTGTATCACTGAAATTTTTAAGCGTTACAATGTTTGGTCTTGCATGTCTTTTAACCAGTTGCTTCATGAAAAATAAGACTTAAAAATATCAATATAATAGTATGGTAAATTGGAATTAAAATGATTGTCATTGTACATTTATCCGCCTATTACTTTTTTACACAGTAGAAAAGTGGTTAATTGTGGGTTTATGGGCTCAAAAATGTCTACAACTGTAAAATGTAACTATACAGATATATGTATAATATAAATATAATATAAAGAAATCATATATTTATGTTTCTAAATCTCTGCATAAGTAAATAGATTTTAGATACCGTCAATATGTCCATGTTGAACACTTCACCATCTATCTAAATGTATGTATAGATACCTATGAATATTAATAAGATCAGGATTCTTATCCACGGAAATTGTTCTGGCCTCTGACGTTCGAGACCAGCTGGATTTAGGGGCCAGTCCTGAGGTGATTTATCCAGCCTGGAGAAAAAGGCTCACAGCTGTGCAATAGCTACAGGTTGAGTCCATCTCTCTTCTCAAATGAGGCAGGGAAGATACATAAACTGGGGGAAGATGTAAACCTTGTCTTTTTGTTTACACAGTGATCTTGGTTGTATTTTAAGGAACTGAATGATATAGCCATTAGGAACAGGTAAAAGTAGGTCTATGTAGGGCGAGGGTGAGGGTGTCTCTTAGCCTCTCTCACTGAGTGCCTTCCTCAAAAGAGGCCTGCCTTGTCTGGAGCTACAGGCAAGGAGGACTCCCTCTCTGTAAGACATAAAGAAAAAAAGAGAAAAAAGGGTGTCAGGCACACGCTTTGGCTTTTTCTTACTCACATGCCAATTTGAAAAAACGAGAATGGACGCCACACCAGCGTTTGTGAGTAAACAAGCTTGTGTGTGTAAGCGTGAGTGCTTAAACCGTAGTTTTCAGAGCAAAAAAAAAATACTGCAAGTGATGGTTTTAGCATTTAGCTTTCTTTTTGTTTGCTCTGATCATAGACAAACGTGCCTAGATTGCCTTGAAAGGACTGGGAGGGAGTGTGGGGTCGGGATGGGGGATGAAGGTGACCGAGCCAGCAAGATGGTCAAAGGTGTTTATAGAAAGCCAGCGCTGGACTCAAATAGATACCAACTCCCCAGTGGGGCAGATCAGACACTCCAGGCTAGGAGGTCACACACTACTCAAACAGGACGTGCACACCTACACACACTTAAACAAATACACCCTGGGATAATGTCGGGGAACCCACAAACATACATTGCAACCAAATCCTCACCATGCCTAGGAGCTTACAAAATGGGAGACAATGGAAGCAAACGACAAGGCAATATAATGATTTCTGCATTATGCACTTATTACCGACTACACGGTCACGCTTGAGCCCTTTTCGCCGTGTGTGTGTTTGCATGCTCATTAATTTGAGCCTGTCCCTGGGTGTGTGACTGTGACTGCGTGCTTGCATGCACGCAATTATGCTGCATTAGGACAATGGCACAGTAGGTTTTGGAGTGTGTGACTGCACACGACAAAGACTGTTTGCTTGTGCATCTGTTACTTCATCGGTTTGTATTCGGTAATTACTGCGCCATGTTCACATTTTTCATTATGTTCATGTGTGCACACGCTTAGAAATTACGCTGACGGGAGTATAGACACTGGAGGAGGAATATATTTGTGGCTTTTTAATCATCCGCAACACATAAACAAGCTCACAAACACAAACACTGACTCAGCAATAATTATGCTTGGGAGTGTAATGATTTTGATGAGCAGTGATTAAAATGTACAAGTCTAATCATATGGCTCAAGATGTTTTAAAAAAAAATGGAAACGCCAACCTTGATGAGGAGAAGGACACCACTGAGCTTCTAGCGAGCCAGCTTTGGTGGCCCTCAGAGCTAAAAAGTTGAATATGGTTGGGTGTTCTGGGAAGGAAGATATGAAGGGAAAAAAGAGGAAGTTTAATAGTTAATAATAGCAGGCTTTTATTTCCCAATTTCCTTTAAATATGGTTGTTTCTTTACGGTCCTTTTCTTTTGTTTAATCTCAATTGGAGGTTAAGGAATAATTCACCTTAAAATTTCAATTACTCTACTTTATGTCGCCCCAAACCATTTTTTTTTATTTTACATGGAACTCAAAAGTAGAAATCTTTGAAGAATTGCTACACAATTATTGCCAAACAATGAGAGTGCATAGTAATCTACTGTAAATAAGAACAAAAACGTTGTAGTCAATGATTTTTATGCTATATTTCATATAAAATGTATGCTTTTGTGAGGTAAAGACTGAACGTTTAGTAAGCATTAATTTAGATTAGTCATCGCCTTCGTCTTCAAACATCCAAATTGCAAAATGGTGGATCAGATGCTTCAGCACTGGTTCTTGTGTTTGTAGTAACCAAACATGACATTTCATTTTTGAATTTAAACAAAAATGAATGCAAAATTGGGCTAGACGTGAGCTTTAGGGCAGGATTATCAGTGAATATCGAGTTTTGAATTTATGAATAATCAGTAAATAAGATCTGATTACCTGTTCCTCAGAAATCTAGCAGATAATAGCACATTATGGTTCTGTTTTTCTTTTAATTTATTTATTTTCTTTTTTTGGAGCTTGAAAGCTCCTAGTCTTGACATTGTTGTAAGGAAAGAGCATAAAATGACATATTAGTTTGGAACGACATAAGTGTGCGTAAATAATGACAACATTTTCATTTTTGCATAAACTTTGCTTTTAAGCTTGACACAAGTGCGCACATTATTTTATGAATTCTCTTTAAAGTTATATCACACTAATAAATCAAGAGATGCTTTCTCTGGTTCATTAGGTTTGTATGCATGATCTTACCTTGGAAATTTCGAAAATCATCCAGCCACCATCAGATAAGCAGGGCTTGGGATAGTTTAAACACGTGCAGATGCCAAGGAGGGACCAAACCCCCTGTAACACTATCTACTTGTGTTCACTGTCACATGACTCTCACAGATCCGCTGTCTGTCACCTCTCTACTGAATCAGCGTATGGGAATACTGATCTGCTCATCAAGTTTTAATATTGTGTCATGTGTACTTCCTGTCAGAGCTGTGATGTTTAGTTTATATTTGTCTGACTTGTGTCTTGATGTCCTGAACTTATTTAGTTCCTTATTTCTTAAGCTGAACTCAGCACAGCATCCTTTATAACGCTGCATTAGGACTAAATGAAGAAGATGTGTTCTCTGAGCAGGAGCTACTGCCACATCATATCATGAGGAATAAATAGGTTAGTGAGGTCCAGAGTTACATGTGTCCCTTGGTCTTTCTTGTCACTGAATCATTTAACCGGTAAAGCTTGTTTTCAGAATATACAGGAAATTATATTTATTTTTTTCTGGAAAAAATTGTATATGTGTGTGTGTTTTTGTGTGAAGTGATGTTCAGCATGTTCCGAGCCCTCACCCTCGTGGTCTTGATCTTGTTCCCAGAGGAACACATCCAGCCGGAGTTGTCTGGTAGTGTCTTACACTCCTCTCCCTCCAGACACGGCTCCATCTCACACCACCACTTCCCAATCACGATGGAGGCTGATGGAGACACACACACACACAAACAAGAAAAAAAGAGTTTCAAACACGTGGACAAATTAAGTACAGCAGGGTTTACAATACTCCCATAGTGCATGATTGCAGAAAAAAAGTTTTTTATTGAACTTTGATGGAGCAAATAAGTCATAAAAGTTTGTTTTGTTTAAAAATCGTATAAATGTATGAGGAGGCAAGGGGTATATAAATACTTTAGCTAAAATAATATGTTTTGCGTAAATCTAAATTAATCACTTTAGCAAGTCTGTACTGTTTTCTTTTTATTTTGATAAATAATTAATTTTTGTTTGTTTAATAAGTATGCTGTCATTAAAATGCTAATTTAAAAAATACAGAAAAATATTAAAAAAAATATTCTGAAAGCTTTGAAGGAGATCCCATAATAATGTATTATGTCTTTACAGTAGTAAAAATAAATATATTTTATTATATTCTATCATTAATATTGGATTTTTAAATATGATGGTTTCATTATAAATGATGATTATCTCTAAGGTAGACACTCAACTTAATAAAATGATGTTAACTCTGACTCTGAATTTATCCATGTCATGTCAATAAATGAAAAAGTCAGCCAGCTACTTATTATCATGTTATAAGTTATTGTACTTTTTATTACCTTGAACAACACTGAAAATCATAAGAGACATAAAAACATTAAATGTTAAACCAATACTATCCATTCCAAAATACATTTTTCATTGCTGCTTGCGATTGTGTCAAGAATCAGTAAAATTTCTGTTCTCATAGTGAAATATTGATGTTTAGGAAAGTGCTGTGGTAAGTTTTTGTGCAATCTAGTGATTTAGAGAAGAATAAAATCAAATGCTCCTTTTACCCTGGTGCGCCTTTTGCCCCACTGTACACTATAACTGACTTATTAAATTAATCTTAAGCAATATGACAATTCTTGGCTTTTCACACTTTAAACCACTAACCAGGGCTATTCTAAACATTGTAATCATGGGTTATCTTGTCTCACGCTATTAATAATTTATCATGAGTTAGAAATTAATCCTGGACATTCAGGTTTCAAGATTTCACACTGTACTTTTGTAAACATTGGGTTACCATTCTTATTTACATATTTATGAGGTCAATAACATTGACTGGATTTGCAACAGGTATGTGACCGGCTTTAATTTGTCTGTCCGTCTGTGGAAATGTCACCATGTAAATCAATATGCCTGTTTTTGGTTACCTGATGAAGCATGTGAAGGTTTCTGTGACTGAACAAAGCTCATGAATATTTAACAATGCAAGCACTGTTTAGTTTATGATTGATTGTATGTTGTATGTAGCACTGTATGACCAGTGTTGGGAAGGTTACTTTGGAATTGTAATAGGTTACAGATTACAAGTTACCCTATTTAAAATGTAATAGTAGTGTAACTTTTTCAATTACTTTATTAAAGTAATGTAACTGATTACATTTGATTACTTTTTGATTACTTTTATAAATTTCGAATGAATGTTTATTTGCAACTGTTAATCATTTTCAAACATTTACACCATGCAGGGTTAACCTTACAGTAGTGCTCAACACTGTCAGACTTTCACAATCCTTCATCACTTGATTTAAGATGATCAAATTTGAACACATCCACCACAAAATCAGACTTTAGTACCGCCTTTTACTTTGAGATTGATCTGAAGTTCAATGCAGATTTAAAATCATAAGAAATAGTTTACTGATACTGTTTTTGAAACCAAATCTTTGCATAACTACAGGAAACACTGCATCTAACAATGGTTTGGAAAAAAATTTAAACTTTAATTAAATTAAAGTTAATTAAAAAATAATAATAAATAAAAGCATATACATCAACTCAAATACAGTTATCTAATAAGCATGTGTCCTATTCTGGGAACTAAACTCCTGAAACATTGGTGTCTCTTTGTATATGATATGATGATAGTTTTCTCAAAATAAGTAAAATGCTCATGAAGTTCTAGAGATCTAGAGAGCAGTTCTAGAGATTATGTGTTCATGTACTCATATATTGAGGAGGCAGAGGCTGAAAACACTGTGAGCTTCAGTAGGCCTATGTGTAGTAAATGAAACCGCATGTCTGCGCCATTAATTTCCACGAGGGGCGGACTGGGAA